GACAATTTTATAATTTTAACTTTTGGACTGATTTGATTTGAATTGAATGCTAGATTTTGAGGGGTCCCCTAATTAATGTATAGTCTTTATCTTTTTTGAATGATTAATTTAGAGCCTAACATAGCGGTGGTTCACAAATACTGTTAATTACATACAATTTAAAGTTATCTTCTAAATTATTTTATTGATAAAATGAGAAGTTTAAAAATATATCATTATCTTTTGAAATTAACTACATAAAAAATGAGTCATATAAATTAAAACAGTCGCGCTAAAAAGTTATTTTGCAAGCATTATTTCAGGAGGAATTTTTTTTGTCTCTCTTTTGGGATATAATTACTACTATTACATACAATTTTAAAGGGTCCACTAGGCACTAGTTTACCCCCAAAAGCAAATTTGCTTTTTTAACTAACAATTCCAATATTCCATTTGACAACTACTACTCAATTCAAATAGATTTCGATTGACAAATTGACAACCACAATAATGATATTGTAAAACCGTTTCATAGAAAGATTGAATTGGCCAAATTAAGAAAAGAAACAAGAGTGTGGAATGCCAATAACTTACATGTCACTTCCCCAAATATGTTAATTTATATTTAATCAAATGTCAAACTCTATAAGAATATCATACACCGAGCGAGCGAGAAATAATAATAGCCTAAGAAATTCTCCTTGCATGAAAAATTAGGCAACACCGACAAATTTCAACCAAATAGAACTAAAAAGTCACGCAAAATTAAGCTTTCCAATATTTTATGAATAGCAAAGTGCATTAAGTTAGGGGTCATTTGTTTACCGGTTATATTACATCACAAATGATCATTAACGGTAATTTAATTTTTAATTGTCGTTAAGTATATTTTTTTTACGGTAATTAATACTCTTTTTATATGTCCCTAAAGTCTTTAATGACTTTGGTTCTAATGACATTTAAATAATGTCGGTAAAGACTTTAGCGCTCTTTATTAATGTCAATACCTATTGCTGCTAAAAGTTGTTTTTGTTGTAGTGTTGGAGTTATGCAAATATTAGTTATGCAGGATTTAGATGTGCAAGTATTAGTTATACAAAGTTTAGTTATGTTGGATATAGTAATGCGGATATTAGTCATGTAGGTATTATTTAGTCATATAGGGATCATAATACATGAATTATCAACTATTCAATTTGTTGTAATATATATATATATATATATATATATATATATATATATATATATATATATATATATATATAATAA